TGGTATTGTCTTTGGTTTTTCCCGACATACTTATAACTATATTAAACACATTATCGAAGATATTTTTTCTATGTGCATCACATCCAAATTATGTCGAATTAGATTAAAACTCCAATATGGAAGATCCCACAATATACTTCATTTTTTTCAATCATAAACTCTAGATATACTACTCGTTACACTCTTTGAAATCATATTTCATGACTTTCATTAATGCCTAATTTTCTATTTCATGCAAAATATTTGTTTTAGACTAAATCATGAGAGCAATGTTTATATAACTCGTATTTTTTTAACGTGTTCTTGTTCCTCTTGAATGGATGAGTTTCTAGCGAAACGTACGATGACTATCAAACCAAAAGGTCTCTCTCGTTATTATAGAGATTGAAAGTATCGAATTTTTCATGTAATAAGGGCATGCTATTTTACCCATAGTACTTTAACTTAGACAATATTAAATATGCGGAAAAATCATTTATTGCCCGTATGACTACCGCTTGCATCTGAAAATTCCGCTTATGGAACACATCATAGGTGGACCGAAAGTATCGGAATAGTTCATATAATAAGGGCACACTCGTTTTATCCATTGTACTATAACTAGAAAATATTGAATGTGTAGGAAAATCACTCATTGTCCATATGACTACTGCTCGTATCCGAAAATTCTACTTATGGGGCATATCATAGGTAATCACACTAACTTACCATAAATCAACAAACTCTTTAATAAAGGGATCTAAGTACATGTTTAGATTGATTTTTGAATTTTTTGGTCTTGGAATAATTATAGTTAAGAATATATATTCTTCCTTCATGCACTTCCATAGTGGAAAATTATAAGGCGTTACAATTACGGATCATGAAGAATATTATTATCTAGATGGATTAAAAGGCTGAAACTCATCAATGTAAACTCTCAATCTAACATTTCTAATTTCTAATGCAAAAGAAGGATGTGTTTGATCAAAATGCCACCATGTAAAGGAGTCGGAGCAATGACGTATGACATTTATCTTAACTTCATGTTCGGCATGCAATGTCATGTCACTAGTTCCGGTATTTGACATATACATCCTCCGTAACGATAAGGTTAGGGAAAAAAATACATATTTTTATACAAGATATAAGTTTCTCTAATTGATCCTTGTTTAGGACTTTTATATTGAATATGGTTATAGATTTTACAAGTAATTCTCTCATTGTCTACATCCCAATAAATCATGCATCCATTTGTACAATCGTGGATCCATTGAACCGGTAAACCCATCGGTTCTACTAGCTTTTTCGTATTAAAAGTCTTCTAGTATACGAGTTATCAACATGCATCAACTTTTTCATAAGTTGACATAGGTCGTCATAATACTTCTTCAAAAAATGATGTTTACGCTTCAAGTGTAACAAGCGTGCCAATATAAATAATTGAGTGTTTTTTTGAATCAAGCCGAGTCTCTCAATTGGATGCATTTAACAAATTATAAAATGCCTAGGCATCAATATTTGGGTTTTTGTCGATGTTAGATAGATTAAATGATGGATTACTCGCATCCATCACTATTGTGTCATATGGATTGGTTGGAGGTTCTTCAAATATTTGTTGAGCTTCAACAAAATTTTTCGAGTTATCACCATAAACCACCAACTCACTTTCTCTATGATATCTTCACACATATAACCCGGACACAAAACCTATCTCATCAAATGGTACTTAACTATATCAAGATCTTTATAACTATGGTTCCGATACCTTTTGAATTTACAAGGACATCTCATCAAATTCATTTACCCCATTTACGAAACTATGATTTAAAAGACCATCGATGTATTTATAGTCGATTTATGAACGATCTAAATTCATAATTATTTTAACACATAAATAACTTACTTAACACTTATTTAATTAAACTAACACATAATTAATTTCTTTAAACAATATTTAAATAGTTAAATTAAAAAATAATAAACTTAATTTAACAAATAAATAACTTACTTAAAACTAATTAGTTAAACTAACACATAATTACTTTTTTAAATAATTAAATAATTTAATTAACACATAATTAATGAAAAGAACACCTAATTAATATTTTAAAAAATATTTAAATATTTTAATTAACAACTAATTGACCTAATTTAACGAATAAAAGACTTAATTAACAACCAAATTCTTTAAACTAAAATGTAATTAATTTTTTTAAAAATATTTCATTAATTTAATTAACAACTAATTTGCTTATTTTAACAACTAAAAAACCTAATTAACAACCAAATTAATTAAACTAAAACCTTTTCAATTTTTGTAACAATATTTAGGTAATAAAATTAAAAACAATTAAGTTATTATAACAAATAAATAACTTAATTAACACCTATATAATTAAACTAACACCTAATTAATATTTTAAAATAATATTTAAGTAATTAAATTAAAAAATAATAAATTTAATTTAACAACTAAATTACTTAATTAAAACTAATTTGTTAAACAAACACCTAAATAAAAATTTAAATAATTAAATAATTTCATTAACAACTAATTAAGTTGATTTAATTAACAACTAAATAACTAAATTAACAAATAATTAATTAAAAGAACACCTAATTAATTTTTTTAAAGAAGTGTTTAATTTTTTAATTAACAACTAATTGACTTAATTTAACAAATATAAAACTTAATCAACAACCAAATTGATCAAACTAACACGTAATTAAATGTTTTAAACAATATTTAATGAATTGAATTAAGAACTAATTTACTTATTGTAACAACTAAAAAGCTTAATTAATAAAAAAATTAATTAAACTAACTTCTTAATTTTTTAAACAATATTTAAGTAATTCAATTAAAAAAATTAACTTATTTTAACACATTAATAACTATTTAATTAAACAAACACCTATTTAATTTTTTAAAACAATTAAATAATTTTATTAACAACTAATTAACTTAATTTAATTAACAAATAAATCAATTAATTGACTCATAATTAATTAAAAAGAACACCTAATTAAGTTTTAAAAATAATATTTTAATATTTTAATTAAAAACTAATTGACTTAATTAAACAAATACAAAACTTAATTAACAGACTAAATTCATTAAACGAACACGTAATTAAATTTTTTAAACAATATATTTTTTAATTTGATTGACAGATAATTAACTAATTTTAACACATAAATAACTTAATTAACACCTATTTAATTAAAAAAATAATTAATTAATTTTTTCAGTAATTAAATAATTTAATTAATAACAAATTAACTCATTTAATGAATAAGTAAATCACTTAATTAGCACATAATTAATTAAAAGAACACCTAATTATTTTTTTAAACAATATTTAAATATTTTAATTAAAAACTAATTGACTTAATTTAACAAACACAAAATTTAATTAACAACCAAATTGGTTAAACTAACATGTAATTAAATTTTTTAAACAATAATTAATTAATTGAGTTAACAAATAATTAACTAATTTAACACGTAAATGAATTGATCAAAACCTATTTAATTAAACTAACACATAATTATTTTTTCAAACAATTTAATAATTTAATTACCCATAAATTAAGGTAATTTAATTAACGATAAATCCGTAATATCTCGAACCCGTTATTAAAAAATTAAAAATATGTTAAGGATGTATAGAAACTATTATATGGGCATAGGATAGTTTCTAGGAGGATGCTAGAATATTTGGGGCGCTTTGGATAATTTTTTGGTGTTGAATGAATATTTTATTTGGTTATCGATGTATGAATAGTAACTTTATATGCAAAATAATTGTTTTGAGCATTTTAAATGTGCGTAAAAAAATATTCTATTTGCATAAAATGTTTGCTAGAGGGGTGTTATATAATTTGGTGCCATTGGATGAATGTTTTGATATTCAGTGAATATTTTTGATGCACGAATAGTGCTTTTTCATGTAAATTAATTGTTTTGAGTCTTTTAAATGTGTTTAAAAATTATCCAATAGGCATAGAAAAGTGATTTAGGAGGTGTAATAATATTTTATGAACTTAGGTGAATTTTTCTATGCATAGGGAATATTTTCTATAGAAATAAGTGCATTTTCATACAAAAGTCGTTAATTTGAAAGCCTAAATAAATGTATAAAAATTATGTGAATCATGTATAAATTCTTATAGGAGGTTTTTGAATTTATTATAAAAAGAAATTAATTTTTGGAAAGGTGTAGAATAATTTTTACATAACACGGACCTAATTGCATAAAATGAAAAGTTTGAACTTTCAAATTAAATTAGCAATGAACTTTAGGAAGTAAAAAGTTGTTAGAAAAATCTTATAGGAAGGGCCTAGAATAATCAATTGAAAAATTGTAGGACTTGTGGAAAAGTAATTGAAGGAATGTTTAATAAATTAAGGGACTAAAATTAACTAATTTGGAGGAGATTTTCTCCCCTTTTCTAGCCACCACTTCACCCCAATTATTTAGTTTTATTAATTGCATGCACAAATGGAGGGTTAAGGTATAAAATAGATGGTTATATGAAATGTTTAAAATTGAAAAAAGAATGGATGACTAAGATTTAAAACAAATGAAGGAATTAGATTAAAAGAAACATTAAGGGCTAGGATTAAATCATATTAAGGGTGGAGATCAAGTTAACCAAGGAAAAGGTCCAACCAATCCTATCTATAAACATGGGTGGTAGAGAAATGAGAAAAATGGTGAGATATTGTAATAATAAAAAATTATAATTGAGAACAAAAAAACCTAGAAAGAAACGCTCTTTAGGCTATTGCAAAAAGCTATTGCCTTATCTTGCTGCCCAGCCATGGTGGCTGTGCCGCCAATCACTTCACGACTATCGAATACTTCCCCACCATAAATACAAGAAGTACCCCCTATGTTATCGATCGGTACAAGCAAAACTGGACAAAATAGAAACATACATGAAGATACAGGTCTATATGGATGCCAAAGAAGTAGTAACAACGTACCTGTATTGGTGTTATCCCTTCTATAATGGGTAAGAGAGTTATTACCACCAAGGACTTTAGTTGAGCTTCCTTGTTTGCTAACCAGTATTGGTATGGTTGGATAACAATGCACTAATACTAGATCTGCAGGATCGTCTGACCTACAATACAACAACATTAAGTCTGATACTACATCTACCTTAAACCAAGACTTCCTCAAGGATGAGGTGGTTGGAACGTTTGTAATTTTGGATTCAAGATTGGCTTTCCCTCCTCAACTGATGCAGGGACAGAACCCATTGGATGCTAAAAAACCTCATACTAGTTATGTCTCTCGTGTTCAAATCTCACAGTAAGGTACCAACTAACTCTGTAAGCCATCCTCCTATTAAGGATCTCTCCATTACAATAAGACAGCCTTCTTTCATCAATGAGGAATTGACCTACCTCTTTTCCACATTAGAACTAGATAAGGCAACATCTCAATTCAATAATACTCTAGTCCTTACGTTCTCGAGAGGACATCTGAATATACCAGAAATTAGACAGCATATTTTGGCTCATTGGCAGCTGCACATGGATCCAGTTATAAGGTTATTGGATCCAAGGTATTTGATGGTTTTCCTATATTCAGAATTAGATACAATCAAAGCACTAGGAAAGGAAGACCATAAGATCCAGAACTCGATGTATAGAAGCCTTAAATGGAGCCCAGATTTCAAATTTCAAGAAGACAGTACTAAGGTTACAACTGAGATCCGATTGCCTCATCTCCCTCTCATGTTTTTTACCCCTTCATATCTGATAAGGATAGGGGAGTGCATAGGTTTCTTCCTTAAAGTAGAAGAGAGAATAGGATTAATCACTCATCCTATGTTTGCCCATATATATGTGGAGGTAGATATATCAAAAGATCTACCATCAAGAGTATGGATGCTCCAAGGAGAATGGTTTTTAGCAAAAAGTGGTCAATGAAGGTAATCTTCCCTACTAGTCAGGATGCGGCTTGATAGGCCACAATCAGATAGTATGTCATAAGTATGAAGTATATCCAGCTAATGCTACTATTGCTATTCCAAAACAAATTATGCAGTAACAACCTTTACCTACAGATAAAGGCAATGACAAGGGTAAAGGACTGTGGATTCCAGTTACTAGGAAAACTATAACAAATGTGGTACTTTTCAAAAGTTCCCCTCCATTCAGACTCTAAAAGAATTTTAGGAAATAGGATCTACTACATCTAACATAGCTGAACCTATTGCTAATAAGCAAGAAGCCACTAGAATATGTATCAACATCGAGGATGAAGATAATTTGGGTAATGGACATGGGTTACAGAAAGTTTATATGGGAGGGCAAACTGGAGCTATGCAAAAGTAGATGCCCATGCAAAATCCATCTATGCCACTAGAATTATTCCTCTTGAAAAGTGTGATCTATTTGCCACTTGACTCAAACTAAAGATTGGTATTGCTGTAGAAAATACCCAAGTGGCCTCCAGGAATATGTCACGGATAACTTCTTTGAGGGGCTAAACTGAAAATACAATGGTTGAGTTAGTAACCTGCTTCCAGCCCCTACATGAAATGGTAATGGGTGGTTCTGAATATGAGAACTTCACTAGAGAAGACCATGTAAATTATATGCAAACTACTATAGCTAACCAACCTGAAGGATTTCAATAGTCTGTCACTTGGCATAATGTGTTGGTAGGTACTTGTGTAGAATATAATGTAATAGTTTCAAGCAATGACGTTTAGACAATTATAGATAATAGGCAAAGTCGAGAAACAATAGCTATACTAGTACCTCTTGTACATGGTATACATATTAATACAACTGATATATCATATGCATTGACGGTGTATGGAGAAAATTTATGGTACACTGAACTAGATTCAGATGGAGTGCCTGGTATTACAACATTAGTTAACGACACAAGAGTCGAGAGAGGTATAAGAAACTTAGATAATCTTAGGGGGTTAAACTTGAGGTGGATGGAATGGCTCAAGCAAATAATAACATTGGGCAGAAGCAAGCGGGGCAAATAAACTTTGACAACCAGTTTAAGGGGAATAAGGTAAATCATAACTTCGGGTATAATACAGAGCAGGGGATAACGACTTCTCCATCTTAGATAGCTTACGACTTCTCCATCTTAGATAGCTTAGAGGATGAGGTAACGGATAATGGGGATCAACGGATTGATGTGCAAGGATCTTTATTAGACAACTATTCTCCCGATAAAAATAACAATGGCCTTTGCTTTCATATTCTCACTCCTTTGACAGATCAGACGTTGAGGAAACGGACACGAGTCAAGTAACCATTTCTCATAAAACGCTCCAAAAGCTAGCTCGAAAAGAAAAATTTCACAATCATAACTTCAGAATAAAGACACAAGCAGTTTTATGAGCACAAAGTACTTCTAACCCTAATCTTTAAATTATGTCTGTTATTTTATGGAATGCTAGGGGGTAGGAAATAAAGATACCATTAATTATTTAAAACTAGTAAAAAGACAACATCGTTATGATTCTAAATTACATAGAGATAAAATCAACGAGGTTGCAAAAAAATTATATTTCATACAACATGTGCGAGTTTAATCCTATTAATTTGCATGTTTGGATTTTTAGAATTCGACATTTTAGTGACTAGCGTGGATATTGCTGAACAATTAGTCATAGTTCAAATAAAAATGCATGGTTGGACTTCAATTTTATGTTCTTTTATCTATGCCAACTGTTCTAGGATAAAGAGATTGAGTCCGTGGGTAGAGTTAGGATGTTTAGCTAGTCTTTATAAACTCCTTTGGTCGGTGGGGAGAGATTTTAATGTCATAGCAGATATGTTAGAAAAGGTTGGTGGAATGAATTATGACCTTCATGCGATGAGAGATTTTATGAATTGTTATAATAATATTGGGGTGGGCGATGCTTGTTATATCGGTAATCAATATACATAGTGCAATAACAAGTCCGATCTAGCTAGGATTTGAGAGAGATTAGATAGAGTTCTAATTAATGGCCAATTTGTGTAATCTCTTCCTTCTATTTCGAGTCCAACATCTTGCTAGGATTCACTCGGATCATTCTTCTTTATTGATTCGATTTGAACCCATAAGGCGGTCCTATTCCCTATTTAAGTTTCAATCGGATGTCGATGGAACATAAGGATTATAATGCCTTCATTATAGGAATTTGGAAGACTCTATTGGGGGTGCTCCGATGAATATTCTCCAATCTAAGTTAAAATTACTAGGTTGTAGGTTAAAATAGTGGAATTGGGAATTTATATCGCCATATGGAGAACCATCAAGACAAGGTTATTCGTTTTAAAAATAATTTATTACATGGGTGGAAAGATAATATTAACATAGACTTACAAATAATAAGAGATGACTTATCTCGATTGAATATATGGGAGATGGATTTATTACATTTAAAAGCAAGGGAAAATTGGATACTAAATGGTGATTGTAATACCTCCTTCTTTCATGCCCGCATTAAGGATAATGCTAGGAAATAATCTTTTAGCTTAAGACAACTAGATAGATCCATTACTTATGATAAGTGATAGCGTCGATAGTCGTTGATTTTTTTCAAAATCTTTTTTCAGTTAGCGGACCAACCGCACACGAATCCCTATTTTTAGGTAGTTTGAAAATTTTTTCGACAACCCAACATATTAAGCTTAGAGATATCCCATCTGAAGATGAAATGCGAGAGGCAATTAATGGTCTTAATTCCTCAAGTACCCCAAGTCTAGATGGATTTAATGGACATTTTTCATAGGTAATTGGGAATTGATTAAGAAGGAGGTCATCTTGGTAATCCAAGACTTTTTTATGGGTGGTCATATTCCTAAAGGTATGGCAATAACCATTTTAGTATTGATTCTTCAAATTCTAAATGCAACTTAAATGAATAACTTAAGACCTATTAGCCTATCATCATTTGGGTGTAAAATTATTTCAAAAATCATGGCTAATATATTAGGTGAGGTTTGATTGATATCATTTCTCTAGAGTAAACCTGGTTTTGTTAAAGGGAGGAGCATAATTGAAAACATTAAAATTGCATAAGAATTAGTGGCAGATTTAAATATAAATGTACGTGGTAGTAATCTTATCTTTAACTTAGATATGTCTAAAGCCTATGATAGAGTTGAATGACCTTTTTTGTTGAGAGCCGTGAGAGAAATGGGTTTTTATAACTAGTGGTGTGGTCTAGTATATAGTTGTATAAGTAATGTTTAATATATCGTTAGGGTTCAAGGGAGGAATTATGGCTTTTTCAAATCTAATAGAAGAGTTAGATAAAGGGATCCATTATCTCATCTTCTTTTTATTCTAGTCCAACAAGTTCTCTCGTATGCCTTAGATAATGTTGTTAAGAAAGGATAGATCATTCCATATAGGATAGTGGGAGGTGGTGGAATAAATATTACTCATTTGTTTTATGCATATGATATGTTGTTTTTCACTAATGGTTCTAAATAGTCAATTCTTCGTCTTAGAAAATTAATTACATAATATGAAGAGTCTTCGAGTCGCTTATTGAACATTTTTAAGAGTGGGTTTTATACCCCAAAGAAAATACCCAGTCGTAGGATTACTTTACTCAAGGCATGGACAAGGTGTAATCATTTAAATTTTCCCATTAAATACCTATGAGTACCCCTAGTTTATGATCGGATAAAATATAGTTACTTCCAATATATAGAGAAGACCTTGACAAATAGAATAAGAGGGTGAAAATCTAAATATTTATTGTTTAATGCTCGGATTGCACTTTGGAAAGTAGTGCTAAGTAATATTCTAATCCATACTATTTTTGCTATCCTTTTGTTAAAAAAGACAATCCACGGACTTAAAACGGATTATGGCTAACTTTTAATAAAGTTTGACATCCGAGTGTAAACACCATTGGATATCTTAGGATAAGGTATGTCGACCTTTATCAAAAGGGGGTTTGGGTATTTGTAGCTTGGTTTAAGTTATGGATGCTTTACAAGCTAAACCGGCTTGGTCCATCATTCAAGGCTATAACTTATGAGCTAAAATTATGAAAGCTAAATATGGCTAAACTCCATAGTTTTGCTCTTATTCCTCTTACATTTAGAAGGCTATTTTCAACCACTTTACTATTTGAAAAGATTGTACTTCCTAGATTATGGGTAAGGGCTTTATATCATTTTGGACGTCTAACTAGGTGTAGAGCTATGTTAAGTCCCTCTCGTATTTTATGTTTTGTTGAATGCATCCAATAGAGAGATCTAGTTCGATTTAGAAAACCACTCACAGTTATCCTCAATGGCTCATTTGTTACACCTCAATTTCGAATCCCTTTTTACATCAAAAATTAAGAGTGTGAGATTGAGAGTCCGCACCGATGGATTTTAACCTTTTGGTTGATCTGGACAATAATATTCTTTGTTACATATGATGTAACGCCTTATAATTTATCATCGTAGAAGTGTATGAAAGAAGAATATATGTTCTTAAATGTAATTATCTTAAGACCTAAAAACCTAAAGATCAACATAGACATATTCTTATAGCCCTTAATTTAAAAGTTGGTTGAATTATGAGAAGTTGTTATGCTTACCTATGATGTGTCTCATAAATAGAATTTTCATATATGAGTCGCAATCATATGGACAATCAACGACTTCCTTGTATGTTCGATATTGTCGGGTTAGAGTACTATAGGTAAAATAGCATACCTATATTGAATGGAAAAATCTTATGCTTTCAATCTTCGTAATGGCGGAAAGATTTCTTGGTTTGATCTGTTACCATAATTTTATGCTATAAAATCATCCTTTTAGGAGGAACAAGAATGAGTTCAAGCGTAATTTAGTTGTCATGAACATTACTCCCCGATCATGTTTGAAACAAAAATTTTACATGAAATACAAAATTTAGGGTTGTTGAAAGTCATGAAAGATGGCCTCGAAAAGTGTAATAATAATATATCTAGAGTTTGTGGTTAGAAGAAACATAGTATATTCTAGGATCTTCCTTATTTGAGTTTCAATTTAATTCGACACAATTTGGATGTGATGCATATTGAAAAAAATATCTTCGACAATGTATTTAATATAGTTATGAGTGTGCCAAGAAAAACAAAAGATAATGCAAACTCTAGAGGAGACTTGAAACTTTATTATCGATGGCTAAAATTATAAATAGATGAAAACTCGAGAGATACCCTAAAGCGTATACACTCTAGACATACAATAAATAAATACGATTGCTCGAATGGATTCAATAACTTAGGCTTCTCGATGGATATGTGTCGTCCTTGGCTAGGTGTATTGATATGAACAACCTCGAATTACATGACATGAAAAGTTATGACTCGTCATATATT